GGGGGGGAGGAAGGTGGGGGGGGGAGGGGGAGGTACTGTATGTATCAAGGTAAAGGGGGCATTAACAAGTACTATCCAAGGGTGATTTTCCCACTGGGGGAGAAGGTCAGGAACGGCATGAACAAGGACCTTTCCCTAGATTGGAGGATATAGAGGACTTGAGCAGTGCTGAGAGTATAGGCACTGCTTTGTCAGATTTCCTTTCTGCACTGCAGTCTCTCTGTGACAGCTCACAATGGTTAAAGTCTTGTATATAACAGCCTTGCAGTAAGTGATGCCTTGGAGGAATGATGAAAGCCATGAAGGTAGGAAAGCTTTGGTTCCACCAATTCTCCTCCAAGGAACAATGGTAGGAACAGTAGCACAACTAGCAGAGATGTTTTTCCCAGAGTTCCAAAACGTGACCAGCAAACAGACCCCACGGCCGAGCAGAAAGCAGCCATCAATGACCAGGGAAGAGCAGAGGTGCTGTGTGCCGCATGTTGGATGAAGGCAAAGATGTGAGAAAAACCTGTTTTTTGAAAAGAAAAACCCAGAAGGGAAGTCATATTGTGAACGTGTAAAGAGAAGCTAAATCCTTTTATTATCTGAATAAAGCCTAGTCAAAGCTGTGGCCTAACTAGGTGGCTAGTACCAGCGTTTCACATACATTTTTAACTTAAAATTCAACTGCTTTCCGAAAATTGTAAGTGAATGTTCTACAGTACTGTGGTAGATTGCTTCCAAAGACGGCCACCATCAATCCTTTCCCTCCCTGTAAGCTCATGCTGTGCCATGCATCAGAAGGTGGAGTCTTTTTCCTCTCTGCTTAAATCTGAGTGGCTTTGTGACTTGCCTTGACCAATGAAATGCAATGGAAGCAACACTGTGGCAATATGGGTGCCTATGACCCCTAGACAAAGACTACCAGTAGCATACCTGTAGTCAGACAACAGTGGTTATTGACTAGCTGTAGTGAGGAGGAATGTGTACCAGGGGTGCTGTGCAGTGCCTTGGTGAGAGGATGTTGGACTTAGCAGAGCTTGGGCTTATAGTAGGCGGTTTTGAGAGTTCAGGAAGTGGCTCTTTTTTCTGGAATGGATGCTTTTAGGCAGTGGGGGGTAATTCTGTAATTGGGTATCTTAATTATTTTTTTTTTTTCAGACAGAGTCTCACTCTGTAGCCAGGCTGGAGTGCAGTGGCGTGATCTCGGTTCACTCAACCTCCGCCTCCTGGGTTCAAGTGATTCTCCTGCCTCAGCCTCCCAAGTAGCTGGGACTGCAGATGCCAGCCACCATGCCCAGCTAATTTCTGTATTTTTAGTAGAGACGGGGTTTCACCATTTTGGCCAGGATGGTCTCGATCACGTGAATTTGTGATCTGCCCGCCTCAGCCTTCCAAAGTGCTGGGATTACAGGCTTAAGCCACCATGCCTGGCCGGGTATTTTAATTTTTGTCTGGAAGGCAGAAAGAATAGAATGAGACACATTATAATTGGTAAAGAGGCAGTAGCTATTCATATTGGTCAATGTTCTCATTTTTATCTGTATTTGGACATGATTATGGAGTGATCTTTGTTCCATCTTGGTCACAGAATAACCTTGCCTGATGTCATTCTTCAGTGGAAATATTTATGTTTACTAGAAAAAAAAAAAAATCCATGATCTAGTGGTGAGTACAAGGACAGCTCCTAGCAATACCACCATTTAGCTGATAGTACCCAGCTGGCATTCCATGTCAAGATTGTTTCTCTTTTGTAAGAGCATACATTTTAAGAGGCCTGACAACTTCCAATTTCACCTGGGATAAGACAGCCACAGTGTAAAAAGTACAACTATTTTGAGACCACCATGCCAGGAAAAAGCTCACACTAGCTATATGGATAAACCATGCCAAAGAAAACCATGAATCCCAGCTGAAAACAAAAACTAAGTCACCAATCAAATGGCTGTAGTCAAGCCACCCCAGTAAGCCCCTTTTGGGCTATCTCAGCTGAGAATCTAGATATCACAGAACAGAGAAAACAACCTGTCCCTGCTGTGGTTTAAGGAAATTCCTGGTCCACAGAATCCTGAGAAATAAAATGGCTGTTGTTTATGGCCACTATGCTTTGGGGTAAATTATTCTACAGCAGTAGATAGCCAAAACAAGTGGCAAGTAAGTTTATATCATTGTATTAGTCTGTTTTTGCACTGCTATAAAGAATACCTGAGACAGAGTAATTTATGAATGAAAGAGATTTAATTGACTCACAGTTCCAGATGGCTGGGGAGGCCTCAGGAAACTTACAATCATGGCAAAAGGCAATAGATAAGTAAGGCATGTCTTCCCACAGTGGCAAGAGAGAGAGAGCGTGAAGGTGGAACTGCCAAACACTTGTAAAACTATTAGATCTCAGGAGAACTCACTATCATGAGGACAGCATGGAGGAAACTGTCCCCATGATCCAATCACCTCCCACCAGGTTCCTCCCTTGACACATGAGGATTATAATTCAAGATGAGATTTGGGGGACACAGAGCCAAATCATAACCATCAAGCTGGTGTATTACTCAAGAATCTTCCAAGAAACAAAACCAATCAGACACACACACACACACACACACACACACACACACACACACACACACAGTGAAGGGATTTATGATAAGAATTGGCTCACCAATTATGAAGGCTCAGAAGTCCCATGATCTGCCCTCTCCAAGCTGAAGACGTAGGGGAATTAGTGGTACAATTCATCTGTGCTCACAGGCCTGAGAACCAAGGAGCCTGTGGGCACAGATGAATTGCACCAACTCCCCTAAATCTTCAGCTTGGAGAGGGCAGATGAGATGCACCAGCTCAAGAAGTGAGGCAGGAAAAAAAGGAGGGAGGTAGATTCCTCCTTCCTCTGCCTTTTGCTCTATTCAGGGCCTATTCACCCTCCTTGGGGAAGGTAATCTGCTTTACTGTGTCCACCAAGTTAAATAGTAATCTCTTCTGGAAACATTCTCAAAAAACCTAGAAATAATTTTTATCTGAGCATCTTCTGATACAGTCAAGTTGACAGATAAAATTAACCATCACAGCTAGTAAGATAGGCCTTGCTTAACTCAAAGCTGAAGTGTTGGACACTGCAATTATCATTTTAAAATATGAAAAGATTCATCACAGGTTAATGCAAATAATCGTTCCCTCATCTTTATACCATAAGAACAAATGTCAGTATATTATATCTCTTTGAGGAAGAGTATATCCTTATATTAATAACCTAACTTAATACCTCTGAAGATATGTAGTACATCACTGTGATAAAACCAGGCCAAAAAAGCTCCTAGCAACCTGTCTGAAATCACCCACACACATCCCAAACTGTCAAGCCTAAGTTATCTCCAGGGCTGCTGTGGGATTCTCTGATTCCCTCCAAATCAACCCTAGGAGGAAGTTCTGAAGACTCTAGAGAACATGCAAGAAATTGGAGCCAATATTTAGACCCATTCCAAGCAGGGCTGTCAGGATTGGGCCTTCCCCAGAGCTGAGCCTAACCTCCAGGTCTGACCTGGAAATGTCAGTGTCTGGTGGGCTTCACTCAGGTCAGAGCACATCGACCACATCAGAACAGCCACCCCATCCTACTTGAGAAGCCCCTCCTAGGGCCTCAGGAGAGACTGTGTTCTCAATAGGCTTTAGTTTCAGCACCAACCCACCATAGCAGTAAACAGAGAGCCATGGGGTAAATCATCAGCTGGAGTGTCAGTTAAATTCTGGGGATAGCTGAGTTCTATTGCAGCAGAAATAATGGAAAATAATACAAGTATATTTCTCAATATTAGGTTGTATTTACAAGAGGACCTTTTGCCCTTTGAGCAAACTAAGTTATACAATAGCAAAAAATGTGAAATAGGACACACTTCTAACACTTTTTTTGGCCATTTCTTTGCTTCCCTTCATCCTGTCTAAGCTCTACCACCAACTCCTTCATAGCATTAGCTCTATAAGGGCTTGCTCCCATGGTGGCAAGAGAAAGAGAAAGAGAGAGAAAGAATATGCACATGTGAAGGCTTTGCCTACATGCTCCAGTTTAGCCTAGTACAGTAGAAAAATAATGCAAGCTGCATATGGAATTTTAGATCTTCTACTAGCCAAATTAAACTAAAAGCAACAGATATAATCCATTTTAACAATGATATAGTTTGGCTCTTTGTCCCACCCAAATCTCATCTTGTAGCTCCTATAATTCCCACATGTTGTGGGAAGGATCCAGTGGGACATGATTGAATCGGGCGGGGCGGGGTGGGGCGCAGGTCTTTCCTGTATTGTTTTCATGATAGTTTTCATGATAGTTTTCATGATAGTTTTCATGAGATCTGATTGTTTTAAAAATGAGTTTCCCTGCACAGTCCCTCTTCTCTTGTCTGTCACCATGTGAGACATGCCTTTCACCTTCCACCATGATTGTGAGGCCTCCCCAGCCATGTGGAACTGTAAGTCCATTAAACTTCTTTTCTAAATTGCCCAGTCTCAGGCATGTCTTTACCAGCATCATGGAAACAGACTAATGCAAATACTGTTTATTTAACTATGTCAAAAATTATATCACTTCAACATCTAATAAATATAAAAAACATTTAATATTTCATGTTTTGGGTTGTTGTTATAGAAATCCAATGTGTGTTTTACACCCACATACGGCACATCTTGATTCAAACTAGGACTCATGCCAAATCTACGGTTGCCATATGTAACCATGACTACCATTTTGGACAGCACCTCTCTACTTAATTGTAACTTCTCTATCTAATATTCCTTTTTTTTTTTTTT